GCCGGGGTGGGCATGAGGTACAGCGCCCAGCCGCAGGTGAGAGCCGCCCCCCGGGGCCGGGGGCGCTGCCAGCACCCTTCCGCCGTTGGCCGAGCTGCCTCCGCTCGCTCCGGTTCCTCCGAGCGAGGTCAGGAGCAGCCGGTGGCTCCGGATCCCTCGGGACGTGGGGGAGATTCCTGCCCCCCCTCGGCCATCCGGGCGCCGCCGCCGAGCCCAGCGGAGCAGGAAAATTAAAACCAACTTTGGGAAAGTGGAAATCCCGCCCGTGGCCATGCGGCAGTCTGTGCCGGCGTTGGACTGCCTCGCTGTCAGCGCCCGGCATCGCTCGGACCGGCTGGATTTCGGCTTAAACTGGGCACGGGGGTGCGAGGGAAGATCAGCTACGTGGAGGTGAACGTTTGCAGCGCACGGGTCTGGGTTGTTTAGCAACAGATCTAACTAAACCTGTTCAGAAGGTCTTGACTTTAAGCGAGGGCTTTGGGGCTTTGTTAATTAACTGATGCGTTATCAGGCTGCTTGGAAAGTTTGAGCGAGCTTAAGCCATGGTCTTGGTTTTTCGTGTAGGTCGTCCTGGCAGAGGGGTGGGCAGGGACTGGTGTTGTGGGTCGCACCGCCAGAGCCTGTTCTGTGCCACACTGCTGTTCCAAAACCGGGCTGCTAGGTTAAAGCAGGGCAGCAGCGCTTTCCAGCCGACCCGCGGAGGCCTGGCTTTAGCGGTTGTTGTCGGGCGGCGGCGAAGGAGCTGGGCTCCAGCAAGGAAAAGTTCTCCTTGCCTCCAGCCCCACTGTCCTGCGTGTCGGGGCCGCGGCCACTGCCGGGAGGGGGAAGGAGATGCTCTCGCTGGTACTGCGCAGCTCGAGCTCCCTGTTCCCTAGCCGGGTCAGGGTGACATCGCTGTGTGCGGGTGATCTTCCCTGCCAGGTTTACTCTCTTGGGATTAAAAAAAAAAAAAAGGTAGGTCTTGAGCTCTGGCGCATCTTTATGGCAGGGCTGAGCACCTGAGCGAGTCCCCTCACACCGGGGCAGCGGTGTGCCAGGGTTTTTCCCCTGGTTCTGCATCACTTTTCCCCCTGCATCAGTTCAGGAGGAGCTGATTTGCTTTGGGGGGACTTCCCGGAAAGTGGTCCCTGCCCTCCTGGCAGTTAACAGCCTGAGGAATTTGTCCCTCACGGACCCACTGTCATTGGACTTGCCTCCCTGTAAATATGACAGAGGAGCAAATGTGAGTTGTTTTGTGGCGACTGCATCTCCTCCTGGGGCAGAGTGTGACAGCTCTTGGGTGCAGTGAGGAGAGGCTGTTCCTCTTTTCTCGGAAACGCTTTTCTCTGGGGTAGTGCCTGGTGGGTGAGCTGCTGCTCGGGCCAGTTCTGCTGCTGTTGGTGCCAAAGGCAAACAGGGATAAGGAAGGCACGATGAGAAAAAGGCTGAGGCCAATCGAGAGTGTGCCAGACCTTTGCTCAGCAAACAAAAGATCACTTTGTAGAACCACTGAGGGAGCAGCGAGAGAGGTTTTGAGGGCCTGGCTGTGGGGAAGGGATCAGGGCAAAGGTTCTCACCTTGCCAGGAGTAGCGATGCCGTGTCCACGCAAAGGGGCCAGCCTGGCAAATAACTGCGACCCCCGGGCGATAGGCTGGGGAGGAGGAGGGAGCGGCTGTGTGCAGACAAAGGCTTCGCCTGGTGGGAGATGTTGGTGTTTGGCTCCAAACAGTCAAATGTTGCGGGCCAGATCCACCTCAAAATTGTAAGAATCAGTGAAGAGCGTGGGCGAAATGTCGTGATGAGCGTGGAGTGTTGCACTGAGGTCTGGAGCGCAGCTGGTTTTGTTAGGCTGCTGGAGGGTGTTTTTGTTGCTCAGACAGTACCGCCTGTACCAGGAAAGATGTAAGAGTGTTTTCAGTAAGCTATTTGCATCTGCAGCGCGTCTCTCTTCTGCTCTTGGGATATAACTGTGTTGTAGGGAGGAATTTCATGGCTCGTGGCTACATGTATCAGGCCTGGAAGGTAGCTTTAATTCCCACTTCTCCCCCAGAATTGCTCAGACTTAGATGTAAAAGTCTCTGCTCCATCACAAACGCAGTCAAAAGCGTAGTTGCTTTTTCTGAGCTGCTGTGTTCCATGACACTGCCCTGATAAGCCTGGTGTGGGGCAGCAAGCCCAGCCCGTGCTGTCATGGGCAAACATTAACTTTAGTTTCTTCTGTAATAAACCTAAAGGAATTTGGTTTCTCGTGTGACTCAGGATGGTCACAAGACAACTGAATACTGTAGAGGATTGAGCTCGGAATTGCTGTGTGAAATAGGTGTGTGACTTGTGACTTGTATCTTTCACTATTGCATTTGCCCTCTGTGCCTGGAAGGTAAAGAGTCAGGAGGACTCTGTGGCCCTTATTTCCTGCTCCATACTCCCTCGCTGGTTCTGATGTCATCATTTTATAGTGTCATTGCCATTAATAAGGAACTGAAGATGAAGAATAACACACTGACAGTTTCTTCACTCCTTTACTGCCTGTGTTGAGGCAACACAGCATGAATATGCTTTACGGGAACTTAGCTCTGATGCGTGCTGTTTCCATGTGTTTCTTACCAAGAATAAGAAGAGAATTGAGATTATTCTTATCAGATCTCTTCCTGGTGGAGTGTCGGGGTTTGTAGCAAGAGTCAGTGCAGAGTTGGTCTCAAGAGTTATGTAGCTGCACTTGAGCTACTTGGGTGAAGCAAGTTGTACGCTGTGCACACCGTGTGTCAGCAGCTTTTAGATTTTTTTTTTCTTCTGGAAAAGAGGCTGTTTTCCCTCGTGCCAGCACCACAAAGCTGGTATTGGCTTTCAGGATGATCTAGGAAGCCTCAGGTTTTGAAAACAGAACTGTCTTGACTCTTTCTGTGCTCTTAAAGCCCACCCTGTTGATCTCAAAGGCTGGGGCATCCCAAGCTGAGACTGGCTTGCTGGTGGTGTCCTGAGCTGGTTGATGAGTCGATGGATTTCATTCCTCTCGTTGCTCCTGGGATATTTGTTTTCGTTTTTATTGAACACCACCTGAGGCAGGTGTGGCTGGAAAAGGGGAGGTGGGAATTGCCTCTTGGATACACAGGCTGGGATCTGCAGGCTGTCATTACCCAGCAAGACTGTAACCGTGTAGTCCGATGACTCTGCTTCACCTGAGACCTCCCCAGGCCACCTCCGACTTGGCATTTTGCAGGTTCCATTTCTTGCCCATGTACGTTTGCACCAGACCGTGGGTCTTTTGCGGTGAGGCTGCCTTGGTTACACACCTGCTCTTACTTCTGCTTTGAGCAGCTGAGTATAGAGCATTGAGAAAGGCCAAGGGAAGCAGCTCAATCTCCTGGCTGCCTTGTGCTGGATGAGCAGATCAACCAGCAGTGATAAGGGGTGGGTGAAACTAATGGCCAAGCCCCCACTCCACATGGGTCAGGGTCCGGTGAACCAGCCCCAGCCGAGTGGGAGATGGAGCATTTATCTGGGAGGAGAGGGGAGCAGTGAGGGCTTTTGCTGCCCGGAACACGTCACACTGCCTTGCTGGAACTGCCAGACTAGCCAGAAATCAGCCTCAGTGGGAGATGCTGACCCCAGACAGACCCTCTGTGGCACGTCCCAGCCTTTCTGCCACCCCCTGTTGCAGGAGGATATCTCCACTTTCGGGTTGGCACCCCCAGTTCAGAGTTGACTGTGACAGGCCCCACCATCCCCGGGCACCCGCTGAATTTCCTGCTGACAGACTTAGTCACTTCTGCATCTGGTTTGTCCAGTCTGGCAGAGTAGGGTTGGCTGTCTAAAAATACATCGTGTGGCTGGCTTACGGAGGAGGAGCAGGGAGGTTTGCTTATGCGCAGGACTCCAACCTCTCTGCACGGAGGAGTTGTGTGTAGGAGACCTCCAAGTGCTTTATAAATCTGTCTGTGCTGCACTCCTTTTCCAAATTTCCTCGTGGAGATGGTACTCTGAGGTGTGGAAGAAATGGGGCATCGTCTGTCTGGCCCTTTCACTTGACTGGCGTGTGGCTTCCCTGCTGACGCTGCGACCAGGAGCCTCCGTGACGCTGCCTCGGTGACGGCGAGGAGGAGCAAGAGGAAGTACCTGAACCTGTGACTAAGGCAGAGAGAATATCAAGGAAGGTTTTCTGTTAATGATGTTTATTGGAGTAGTTTCCTCGAGAAGGGTGAGAGAGTCAGACCTTGAGTCACTTCGGGCTAGAGACAGTTTCTCGGGGAATCACGGACAAGGTGAGAGCAGGACGTGTGTTCAGATCCTCTCTGGTTCCCATCTGCTGGTGCATTGGACTGTTCAGTACCTGCGAGGGGACATGCAGAACCGCTGGCTAAAGGAGATTAAAATCACAGCTGTCTTTTGCTTGATTTAACTGATCTTTTGAGCCTGTCTTGCTTTTGATGCGGCCTGGTTTCTGCCCAGCTTAGAGGTTGGTGACCAGCACCCTGAGGAGGTATTTTTCCCCAATGGGCAGGAGCGGGATGTGCAGCAGAGTGGAGGCTGAGCCACGTTCTTTGGGCACAGACGACTCTGGTCTTGAGGTCAAACGGGTGCTTTCCGTGCTGACTGTGGGCCGGGAAGATTCAGCCTCTTACTCAGAGGTCAGGACATGGGGCCCCATCTGAAATCTTCCTGGCACGGCCTGATTCAGCATTCCTGTAGTGCTTGGGGGATGCTTCAGATCCTTCGCCTTTTCTTGAGAAGAGAGTTGGCAGGGATTGCTGTGGCTGACCCAGGCTGCGACATGCGGCAGCTCTGCAGAGCAGCTTCACGCCAGCGTTGGGACTGGCTGGGGAACATAACGGTGTGTGTAAGGCGTGAGGGTGGAGGGGATGAGATCTGGAATATAAAGCAGAGGGCAGGGACGGGAACATCTTTGGATCCAGTCTTGTATCTGCCTCTAATCACTGGGTAACTTCTGGCGAGTAACAGTGTCAGCGTCCGCTTACGCAGCTTGTACAGGAGTAGTAACAAAAATACCCTCCCTCGGAGTCCCCGCGCTCCTTGAATTTCTCTCAGTGCTGTGGGGGGGTCACAGCCATCTCTGCTTTGGAGCAAGAACAGACTGACAAAGGCATGCTGTAAGCTCTCTCAGGTTTAAGATCTTTCATCCTTTTTTTCCAAGGAGAGCAGAGAAATTGTCCAAAGAAAGATCAGATGGTGAGTTTTCCTGCCTAACTTCTCTGGTCACGCTGCAGGTGCAGGCACAGGGAGTGTGTTTGCATGTGTTGGAGGCGGAGGGGAGCTGTGTTTTCCTTCTGGTTTAATCACACCGATTAGTTGTTCCCCTCTAAGAGCTTTCTCTCTGCAAAGACACAATCTTTAGCTTGAGGAGGATGTGTCAGCCATGGTCTTGTGCAGGATGGCCTTGTACAGCAGCAGTATCTCCTGCTTGCGGCTGAGCCTCCTGTTTTTTTTTTCTGGCAGTTTGATGAAACCGAATTTTGGGGAGTTTTGCAGAGGGCTGAAGGTACCCGCAGCCGGAGGGTGCACTGTTTGAAAACAGGGTTTTCTTTGCTCTAGCCAGAGGAGCCCTGATGTCATTGTGCTGTTTTGCTGCTGCTACCACCCTGTAACGTTACGGCGTGATCCCTCTTTCGGGAAAAAAACGTCATCTGAATGAATTCAGCCTGCCAGGGGAGTTACGAAGGCCAAGATTCAACAGCTTGTCCCCAAAAATTGTTACTCGGAGCACACAGAGACACCGTCATCCCCCTGCGAGCTCCCTGACCCCGAGCAGTCTGGGAAAGCTGCTGCTGTGGGAACAGATTCATCATTTAAGCCCCAGCGGTGTTTTCTTGCCACAGGCTCCTGCAGATGTTAGAAGAGAATTAAATACTTTTCTTTCTGCTAACAGCAGCAATGTATTGGAGGTCCTGGGAGGACTTGGCACTGCAAGCAGCGCCATGGTGGGAGAAGGGAGATGCTTCTGAGATTTGAGGCTGATTTCTTCTCTTTACCTGGTTTGGGGGTATTTCTTGCATGATTTGGAAACTAATGGCTGTTTCAAAGACAGTGTGTCAAACTCCAGGCAATCTTGACTTGGGTTGATTTAGGATTGATTTAGGATGTTTGTATGTATTTAAGCTTTATTTTGTGTGCTTCTGCTTTGAAGTTTCCTTGGGGTTATGTTTTCAAGTTGTTCCTGCCTGATCGTAGAAGCTTGAAGGGGAATCAGAGCGTCCCCCACGGGATTGTCCTCTGTGGCTCTGCTTGGCCTTTCATTTCTTCTAGGGGTGCCTGGATGTTGGTGGCAGAAACAGCCTGGCACCTCAGAGTTGGTTTCTTTCTGCTGGCCCTTAGGCTGTGAATCTCACAAGTGGGTGAAAACTTTCCTCCCCGTGCTGTAGTGGAGAGCTGCCAAGTGATAAACTCGGATTATTCTGAGAGAAGATGGTGCAAAAGCTGGTAGGTTGCTCTGGTCATGGTGGCCTTTTAGTAAGTGTTTGCAGAGGATTAAACTTAGTCCTTTACAAAAATGTAGGGTAAGGTGCCTGCCGTGTCCCTTTCTTTTGTAAAGGGCCTCGGGCAAATACCACGGGGAGGAGAGGCTTGGGTGAGGAGTGGAGGGTGGGAGGAGAGGAGGGACCGAGTGAAGAAAAGGGCAAAAGGAGCAGAGGAATGATGCAAGTGGGAGCTGGGCTTCTTTGCCTGGGTCTGTTGAGAGCGCAGGGGGCTCCAAGGGCTCCCTGTCGACAGGATCCCCTTCACTGGATGTCTTTCCTGGCTTTTGGGGGCTTGTGACATTCTCATCAAATGAAGCCGGGCCAGTTAGGGTCTGTTTGTGTCAGCCCTGGGCTGAGAGAGGACAGGCAGCATCTGACCCGGCGTCGTGTTTGTGGGGACGAGGTTCCCGTATGCGGAGCGCAGGGGTTGAACGCAGCGAATTTGTGCTCGTCGGCACTTTGTGTTGTGGTGTCCTTGCTGGCATCCAGAGCCCCGTGCTGCTGCCCGGGAAGCTGCCAGATGCTCGGGAGAAAGGAAAACAGGCAGACGGTGAGCAAGAAGGTCAAGGCATCCTCACGGTTTGGGCAGTTTGCAGCAGACAGGGAGCCCTCCCTACCTGAGGGAGGCACAGGGAGAAAGCGCTGCGGTCTGCTCTGGGGAGGAGAGGAGCTGCCGGGGTAGTGGGTGCAGATCCGGGTCCCCCCCCAATGTCCTCCTGGACCAAGGATGCTCTGGGCTGTGTGGCAGCCTCTGGAAACATCTGGGGCTGCAGCCATTTCCCCCCAGGGTGGAGGTGCAGGGTTGTGAGCAGGGCAAGGATGGCGGGCAGGTAAGCAGGAGGTGTGAGAAAGCGAAACCCCAGGGCACCGAGGGTTCTGCAGCTGCTGCAGGGCTCTGCTCTGCGACAGAGACCTTCCTCTTCATCGCCCAGCCCGGCGTGGGGAGGTGATGGCACTACGGGTATCGATCCTCCTTCCTGCTCTTCCTTCGCCTTGTCCAAGAGTCTGGCTGTTGGTGGGCTGTGGGGGGTGTCTTGTGTGTTCATCTTGATTTTTTAGTTTCTTTTAATCGGTATTTGCACTGAATGGGAAATGCCAGCAGGAACACTGTGTTGGCCCAGGAGATGTACAGAGCGACACACAAATATAAAGGGAGGAAGTAGCTTGGTCTTTCCTCTTACAGGAATGCTGTTCATAGCGTGCTGTGCCCTGCCAGCTGCGGGTGACACACCTGCCACACGGCGGGCGCTTTGTAGGGGCGGATTTTTGTCTGCAGCTTCATCTGCCGGCAGGCAGAGATTCTGGAGGTTGTGGGCTTGTGACCTGCCGTGGTCACGGGGGGGGGG